GCTGACCAATCACTGCCTTCATCAGACACCAGACTAATGGGGCTGCCCAACCTTGCACTGTGAATCCCCAAAAGCATGACCCCAAATAAGCCACCTTCCTTTGTAACAGGTCCTCTCCAGTATTGTAACTGGAGTAAGGAAAAACTGACCGATACATCAGTCCAATACCGAACTTCCCCATCTCCAAGCCCTTTCCCTATCCTTCATACAAACTGGCATTTGCTGAGTGCTTACTACGTGCCAGCTTGTACTAAGCGTTCTACACCGCTATCGTAATTATCTAAATTAATCCTCACATTTCCCATTAGGATGTATACTATATGAGGATAGAGTTTTTTGGTGTTTTTTGTTTTGTTTTTTTCAGGGGACAAAACAAACAAAAACTAAGGAAAATGCTTATCATAAAATAAGTATCAAAAAATTGTCAGGGAACGAAGACACAACTCTGGCAGGGAGATCCATTCGTTAGCTGTTTCATAGATGATTCAGCGGAGGAGCAGGTAGGTGAAATGTTTTGCCCGAGGCCTCCCAATGGTTAAAGGCAGAACCAAGACGCGTTTAGAAGAACCCAGAACTGTCTGACTCCAAACACGATGGTCTTGCTCTTTGTACACCACTGGTTCTCAGATCTTGTCGTGTGTCAGAACCATCTAGAAAAGCAGACTGCTGGGCCCACACCCAGGGTTTCCAATCCAGGAGATCTAAGGCGGGGGTGGAACAAATAGGTATTGCTAACAAGTGCCCAGGTGATCTGATGCTGCTGGTTGAGGGACCATATTTGGAGAGCCGCTGCTGTACACCAACCAGCCTCCCGGTTTCTCATGTATTCCTAAGAGGTGAATAGAGTGGAGAGAAATGACCCAGAGTGGATGAGGGAAATGAGGCCAGAGAAGTATGGCAATTTGTCCAAGGTCTCGCAGCAACCGCGGACTTGCAAGGTTAGCGATTATGCAGCCCTCGACGCCCCGGATAACCCTGGCTGCCTCCCTTCCAGACGTGGGCTGGGGCAGGGAGGAGAGAGCAGGCAGGAGGACGTCTGTCAGGAGGAGGTGGGGTCTCGGCGCTGACTCGGGTGTGCCCCAGGACAAGACCCCTCCTCTCCAGACCTCGGTCCTCTTCTGCAGACCCGAGTGCCAGGGACAGGCAGGGAAACAGAGGGCGCCCCGAGTTCTGCTGCAGAACTCTCGGCGCTGGCCGGAGGCCAGGCGGGTCACTCGGGGACGGTGCGGCGTGTAATCCGGCGCGGCTGGAACGAGAGTGCGAGAGGGGCTGACCGCTGTCCCAACCTGGAGTCCGGAGCAGGCACCGGGGGTGACGCGGGGTGAGAGGGCCGAGGACCCTGCGGGCGCGGGCGACTGCCTGACCAACAGCAGGAAGGGCAGAGCGCCTCCGGGGCCCAGGGTCCCCAGGGACCGTGCCGGAGGCTGGCGAACTGGGCAGCAACCCGGCCAACGACACGAGCACCAATCCCAGACCTTCAAAGTGACCTCACGTCAAACGTGATTGGCCGGGTCTCCCCGCGGGGCGGGTCCTGTTGGCTCACGGATGCGTAATCCTTTGCGGGAGGCCAAGGTAGCTTGTGTGACCTTGAGGAAATAATTTTACTTCTCTCAACTTCCCTTTTAAAATGGAGATGCTATACCTGTCCTTTAATGGCCCTTAAGACAGTCAAAACATCTAGGGAAGACATCATGTCTTTAAAAGGTAGTTTTACTATTTTGTCTGCTTACAGAAGTAAAATATTACTATAAAAATAAGTATGGAATACAAACCGGGGAAGCCCTCTGCACACTATTTCTTTCTCCATTTCAGCCTATGGATAGCAACTATTAACAGTTCAGTGTGTTTTCCCTCCTCTTTTTTTCTATGAATATACCAAAGGTTAATTTTAAAACAAAAATTTAAGTTATACTATGCAACTTCTTTTTTCACCTAACAATACAAACTACCTTTCAATGCTGGTATGAACAGCACCATTTTATTTTTGTTACTGTCTACATTGCATTCAAGTCTATTATTGAACATTTGTTACTTCTTTAAAAAAATTTTTTTTTTTCATTTGAAAGGCAGAGTGACAGGCCGGCACCGTGGCTCAATAGGCTAATCCTCTGCCCTGTGGCGCCAGCACACCGGGTTCTAGTCCCGGTTGGGGCACCGGATTCTGTCCCAGTTGCCCCTCTTCCAGGCCAGCTCTCTGCTGTGGCCAGGGAGTGCAGTGGAGGATGGCCCAAGTCCTTGGGCCCTGTACCCCATGGGAGACCAGGAGAAGCACCTGGCTCCTGCCTTCAGATCAGCGCTGTGCGCCGGCCGCAGCGCGGCGGCTGCGGCGGCCATTGGAGGGTGAACCAACAGTAAAGGAAGACCTTTCTCTCTGTCTCTGTCTCTCACTGTCCACTCTGCCTGTCAAAAAAAAAAAAAAAAAAAAAAAAAAAAAAAAAAAAAGGCAGAGAGAGAGAGAGATTTCCATCCCTTGGTTCACTCCCCAAATGACCACAATAGCCAGGTCAGGGCCAGGCTGAAATATATGAGAGGCAAGGGTCCAGCACTTGGGCGTCTTCCACTGCCTTCCCAGACGCATCAGCAGGAAGTTGAGTGGAAAGCAGAAGAGCCAGGACAGCCTGCAGGGATCCAGGCATGGTGAGCAGAGGCTTAACCCACTGAACCACAAAAAATGGTCCTGTTGTTTCTATTACAAGAACAACAAGAACAGCAACAAAAATTGTACAAAGTGTGAGAATTTCTGTAGGAGGCATACTTAGATGTTGAATGTCTAAAATATAAGCAGATTTTAAATTAACTGAATATTAAGAGGCTTCCACTGTATTCCCACCAGCAGCGTATAGGATGCTGATTTGCCAGCATCCTCACAAACATAGGATCCCAATCTTTGTTAATCTAATATATTTTTAAAAACACTATTTTTAAAAAAGATTTATTTATTTACTTGAAAGAGTTACACACAGAGAGGAGAGGCAGAGAGAGAGAGAGGTCTTCCATCTGCTGGTTCATTCCCCAATTGGCCCCAATGGTTGGAGCTGTGCCAATCTGAAGCCAGGAGCTTCTTCCAGGTCTCCCACAAGGGTACAGGGGCCAGAGACCTTGCGCCATCTTCTACTGCTTTCCCAGGCCATAGCAGAGAGCCAGATTGGAAGTGGAGCAGCCGGGACTCAAACCAGTGCCCATATGGGATGCCAGCACTGCAGGAGGCAGTTTTACCTGCTAAGCCACAGCACCAACGGTCCCCTTAAAAAAAATTTTTTTTAATATGTGATTTCATAGTCCCAACTTGTCACCAACCAAACTCTCTATTGCCCTCTACTGCTCAGGTGATCTCATTTCAATGTGGTTCAACTCAGCAAATATTAAGTGAAAAGCACTGTACACTTGAGGGCAGTCCTTGACTTTAGTTACCTGTGTCATTCTGGTGGACCTCTGCTCTGTTCTTGGCTGAGTGACTGGCACAAAGGTCACAGAAATCATATTTTGTGATGGGTGTCGAGGGTTGAATCACCACTTGGAATGCTTACACATCCCCTATACATGAGGCTGGTTCATGTCCTGGCTGCTCTGCTTCTGACCCAGCTTCCTGCTGATGTGATCCTGGGAGGCAGTGATGATGGCTCAAGTGATGGACCCCTACCACCCATGTGGGAGACCCAGATGGGGTTCCTGGCTTGTTGCTATGGCCTGGCCCAGCTCTGGCTACTGTAGCCTTATAGGGGAGTGATCAGATGGAGGATCCAACTCTCTCTCTCTCTCTCTTCCAAATAAATAGATAAATATTTTCCCAAAAATGTGGTGAATCTCCCTGGAGCGTTAGTTTTATTCAAAGACTTGGGGACAAAGCAGTCTTCTTGTGTTATATCTTGAAAGCTGTATTATGGAATTGATCGCAAAACCCTATGAATCGAAAAAATGAAACCAGGAGTTCAAAGACATGTCCTGGCTGCGGAAAGCTGCTCCTCAGTAAGGAAGTCTGGATGTGGCCCGCGATCCACTGCCTTTAGGAACAGCTTAGTAGTGGAGACATTGGGAAGCACTGCTATAGGTGATGGCAAACCATGGATTGAGTTCCTCTAAGGGCTCTAGACCAGGCCTGCAGGAGATTCAGAGATGAGTAGGAACTGACTTTCTTGGGAGAGCTTTTTGGTTAGGCTTTCTAGAACTGATAGTTCTAAGCAGGAACACAAAGCAAAACAGGTGAAGTGTCTCTTCCCCATCTCCTTGCCGTGTTGCTCCTCTAATACATTCATTCTTTTCTTCAAAACATATGCGTTGCATACCTATTCCCTCATTTACTGCGACCTTGGACAAGTTCTTTGACCTCTCTGGACCTCATTTTCCTTATCTGCAGATTGAGGGTAAATTATATCCATCTCAGTGTCCAGTGAAAACGAAATGAGTCAATTAGCACAGAGTATTGAAATAGAGCCTGGGGCAAAGTTCAGCAGGGTTTAAGCATGATCTAACAGCGACATTGCTACAAACTGTCGCTGCTGCATTTCAGAAAGCACATCCCAGGGCCAGTCATTCCTTAGGTCAGTCCTGTCGATGGCCGGAAGGAAGGTAGAGAGAGATGAGTCAGACTTCCCACTGCACCGTCCAGCTATATCTCACACCTAGCAAACGCTCAAAGCGGGAACAGAATGAACGAACTAATGTGTTCTCACTAAACTGCAAGCTCTTTGAAGGCAGGGACCCTACTCCCCAGCTGTCCTATCGCTAGAACCAAGCACCAGGTGACGCATTCAGTAGGCGCTTAGGGATTAGCAAACTAATGAAAGGATGGACGGATGCATACATGACTGTCGGCAGAAAACCACTAAGGCTGCAAAGCAGGAACAGCTGGAGCTGCAGAAAAACCGTCACCAGCTTTAGGAACAAAGCTAGCAGGAGAGAACCGGACAGCAGAGACTTCAACAGCGCGAGCACTGCCGGGAAGCCGCAGTTCACCGCCATGGGCTCGGAGTCCCGCCCCGCCCCCGCCCCGCCCCTCCGCCGGCCCACGTGACCGCGGGGCGGGGCGCGGGGCCGACCCGGGCTGGGAGCGCCGGAGCCATGGCCGGCTTGGTGGACTTCCAGGATGAGGAGCAGGTCAAGTCGTTTTTAGAGAACATGGAGGTGGAGTGCAACTACCAGTGCTACCGCGAGAAGGACCCGGACGGTGAGCGGCGGCGGCGCAGCCTGGGGACACGTGGGGGCGGGAATCGGGTGAGAGACCTCTGGAGGGAGCCGGGCGGGACGAGGGTGCAAACTAAGCACACGTGGGGCGCTCGCGACCTTGCCGGTTTGCTGGGCTCTCGCGGGGTGGGAGCGAATGCCGCGCGGGGACCGAGGCCGGGGCGGGAAGGAGGGGAGTGCTTGGGCACTGGGGAAGGAGTGAAGGATAGGATACGTCAGGGAAGAGATCAGATTCTCTGTCCTCAACGAGCTTACAATCCAGTGTGGGGAATCAGACAGTAAGCATAAGGAAACACATGAAGGAGTGTGGTGGAGAGTAACGCGTGCTGTGGGAAGAAGAACCGGGTATCAGGAGTTCAGGAGGGCGGTTTTAAATCGAGTGGTAGAAGGAAGCACTGGGAAAGTGACATTTGCATCAAGCTTGGGGAAGGAAGTGTATCCTGCAGTTCTGTGCCAGGCAGAGCTAACAGGAAAAGCCCCCAGACGGGAATTTGGCCGAGTTTGCAGGGGCAAAAGGTGGTTACCCAGAACAGCCAGTACCTCAGGTGTTTTTTTGTTCCCACTTTTTTTTTTTTTTTTTTTTTTTTTAAGGCAAAAAAACCGACACAGCTGTGCCTTCTAATAGCTTGAAGTCTGGTTTCCAGAACAGGACATAGCTACTTCTTTTTTAAAAAGACTTGCTTATGTGAAAGGCAGGAGGCACGTGTTGGCAAGAGCCCAAGCACCTGGGCCATCACCAGCTGCCTCCCAGGTGCATTAGCAGGAGGGTGGATGGGAAGCATTGAGTTGCATGTGTCCCAAGCCGTAGCTTAACTTGCTGCACCACAACACCCATCCGACATTTAAAAAAAAAATTTTTTTTTTGACAGGCAGAGTTAGACAGTGAGAGAGAGAGAGAGAGAGGTCTTGCTTTTTCCGTTGGTTCACCCCCCAACAGCCGCTGCAGCCGGCGCGCTGCGCTGATCTGAAGCCAGGAGCCAGGTGCTTCCCCTGGTCTCCCATGTGGGTGCAGGGCCCAAGCACTTGGGCCATCCTCCACTGCACTCCCAGTCCGCAGCAGAAAGCTGGCCTGGAAGAGGGGCAACCGGGACAGAATCCGGCACCCCAACTGGGACTAGAACCCGGGATGCCAGTGCTGCAGGCAGAGGATTAGCCAAGTGAGCCACGGTGCCGGCCAAATAAATAAACCTTAAAAAAAAAAAGAGGCCAGCATTGTGGCACAGCAGGTTAAACTGCCGCCTTCAATGCTGGCATACATATGAGCATCTGTTCAAGTCCTGGCTGCTCCACTTCCAACCCAGATCCTTGCTAATGTGCCTGGGAAAGTGGCAGAAGACGCCCCTGCCACCCTTGTGGAAGACCTAGATGGAGTTCTTAGCACCTGGCTTCAGCTTGGCCCAGCCCTGTCCTTGCAGTCATTTGGGGACTGAACCAGTGGACGGAAGATCTCTCTCTCCACCCCTACACTCCCCATAGCTGCCTTCCAAATAAATAAATAAATATTTTAAAAATAAGAAAATGAATGAGAGATGATGTGTGGTGTCATCGGGGATGAAGAGGAAGGGGAGAGGGAAGAGATGGTGAGGAAAGAGGCCTGCTGGGCCTGGGAAGCTGCCGGCGGAGCCCATTCCCAGCTTCTTTGCTAATTGTCTTTTGTTTCCTTTGGACTGCTTGTTCCGAGCCTGACTGAGGAGTAAGGGACTGTCATTGTAGCATCTTTCTTGCTGCTTTGAAGGCTCTCCCATGAGCCCTTTGGGGTTTCTTTTGTTTTTCAAGACTTATTTATTTATTGTAAATGCAGAGTAGTTGATAGAGTCGGAGAGACAAGGTATCTTCTGTCTGCTGGTTCTCTCCCCAAGAGCCTGCAATAGCTGAGTCTGGGCCAGGGAAAGCCCAGAGCCAGGAACTCCATCTGGGTCTTCCACATGCGAGGCGGGAACCCAATACTTGGACCAGCATCCATTGCCATCTAGGCGCATTAACAGGAAGCTGGATTGGAAGCATAGAGTAGCCAGGATTCCAACTGGCACTCCAATGTGGGACGCAGATGTTCTAAGCGGCTTAACCCGCTGCACCACGATGCCTGCTCTGAGTTTTCATTTAGAACTTCATGAGATGTTCCAAAGCCTGGAATGTTTCAATCATGGAAGTTAGTTTGTCTTTGGACCTGGCTGGCAGGGAGCAGAAAAGCTGACGAGTGTGGGGCTGAGGTCTCCCCAGTCCGTACATGGCTCAGTCCCTGGCCAGGGGTAGACAGTGCTGTCTGTCAGAATGGCTGAATACCATCTGCCTTCTTTGCATTGAGGTCAGCTTGCCACATCTCGAGAGGAGGGACTGGTCTTACACGAAAGTCTGCACAGTTGCTGCAGACACGAACAGCTCTGGACCTCTCCCTGCAGGTTGCTATCGGCTGGTGGACTATTTGGAAGGGATCCAGAAGAATTTTGATGAGGCTGCCAAGGTGCTGAAGTTCAACTGTGAAGAATACAAGCACAGCGATAGCTGCTACAAACTGGGCTCCTATTATGTGACTGGGAAAGGTAAGGAGGGGCCTGCTTTTCTGGTGTTTAGTGTTGGTATGGTGCTGTCATCACACCTGGCCTCATGCTGAGCTCTCTTCACTGCGGGGCCCTCACAGGCACTGGGGAAGCATCTTGGAAGAAGATTTGGAGACAAGGGCTGGCAGAGTGGGAATGCGGTTTGCAGGGAGTGGGACTTGAGCCAGTGACTTTAACTCTTTGCCTCAGTGACATCATTTGTAAAATGGAACAAGTAGTTCATACTTTCTAGGGTTGTAACACATGCCTCAATAATTATTAATTCCCTTGCTTCTGGCTTTTCTCCTCATGCCTTAATAGCTGTCATTACTAGAGTAGTGTTTAATATTGTGTTGCTAAATTAACAGATTTCCCACACGGTATCTGTGGGTCAGGAACTCAGGAGTGGTTTAGCTGGATGAGGTCACAGTCAACACGGTGGCCCGTGAGCCAGGGCTGCAGTCTTTTGAAGACCTGACTGGAGCTGGAGTTTCCAGCCCTAAGTTGACTCACTCACATGGCTCTTGGCAAAGGCTCTGCTCCTTGCCAGCTGTTATCAGCAGACCTCTGATCCTTAATTTTTTTTTCTTTAAGATTTATTTATTTATTCATTTATTTGAGAGGAAGAATGACAGAGACAGAGAGAGGGAGATCATCCAACTGTTGGTTCACTCCCCAGGTGGCCACAACCAGAGCTTGGCCAGGCCTAAGCCAGGAGCTAGGATCTTCTTTCAAGTCTCCCATGTGGGTGACAAGGGCCCAAAAACTTGGGCCATCTTACACTGCTTTTCTCAGGCCATTAGCAGGGAGCTAGATCTGAAGGGGTGCAACCAGGACACAAACTATTGCCCATATGGGATGCTGACATCCCAGGTGGTGGCTTTACCCAATAAGCTACAATGCTGGCCCCACTTTTCCATATCTGTTTCATTCTCAGAGTTTATTAGAAGTCAGTCACGGGGCCGGCACTAAGGCATAGCAGGTTAAGCCACTGCCTGCGGTGCCAGCATCTCATATTGCCGCTGGTTCAAGTCCCAGCTGTGCCATTTCTAATCCAGCTCGCTGCTAATGCAGGGAAGGCAGTGGAGGATGGTTCAAGTGCTTGGGCCCCTGTACCCTCATGGGAGACCCAGAAGAAGCCACTGGCTTCTGACTGTGGCCTGGCCTAGACATGGCCATTGCAATCATTTAGGGAGTGAACTAGTGGATGGAAGATCTCTCTCTCTCTCTCTGTTTCTTACCCCTCTCTCTCTCTGTAACTCTGCCTTTCAAATAAAATAAATAAATTTAAAAACAAAAAAAGTGAGTTACCGGAGCCTGCTCTGTGGTGTAGCAGGTTAAGCTGACATCTGTAGTGCCAGCATCACTTATGGGCTCCGGTTCAAGTTCCAGCTGCTCTGCTTCCAATCCAGGTCCCTGCTAATGTGTCTGGGAAGGCGGTGGAGGATGGCCCGGGTGCTTGGGCCCCTGCACTCACCTGGAAAACCCAGAAGCTCCTGGTTCCTGGCTTCAAGCTGGCCTAGCCCTGGCCATTGCAGCTTTTTGGGGACTGAACCAGCAGATGGAAGATCTCTCTTTCCTCCTCCCTCTCTGTAACGCTTTCAAATAAATAAATAAGTCTTTAAAAGAAAAAAAGTGACTCCTAGTAGTGCACACTACTAGGAAAGGCCTTACATTCCAGCCCTGCAAGGAGGGGACTCTAGGAATTTATGAGCATATTATTTATTTATTTATTTATTTTTTTGACAGGCAGAGTGGATAGTGAGAGAGAGAGACAGAGAGAGAAAGGTCTTCCTTTGCCGTTGGTTCACCCTCCAATGGCCGCCGTGGCCAGCGTGCTGCGGGCGGCGCACCGCACTGATCCGATGGCAGGAGCCAGGTGCTTTTCCTGGTCTCCCACGGGGTGCAGGGCCCAAGCACCTGGGCCATCCTCCACTGCACTCCCTGGCCACAGCAGAGAGCTGGCTTGGAAGAGGGGCAACCGGGACAGAATCCGGCGCCCCAACCGGGACTAGAACCTGGTGTGCCGGCGCCGCTAGGCGGAGGATTAGCCTAGTGAGCTGCGGCGCCAGCCTATGAGCATATTTTAAAACCACCCAAATAAGGAATATGTTAGTTGCTGTGTCGTGAGCTTCTCAAGGACTGAGGACACAATTTGTTGGTCTTGTGTTTCTCTGTTCCCAGTGCTCAGCCTACTGGTTACTTCAGTGAAAGTTTGAAGAGGATGAGAGGAGGATGTCTAGGATGTCTTTTTTTTTTTTTTTTTTTTTTTTGAGAGAGGCAGAAAGAGACAAAGGGCTCCCATCTGCTGGGACTCACTCATCTGGGACTCACTCCTCGGATGTCTGCAGTGGCTGAGACTAGGCAAGGTGGAAGCTGGGAGCTGGTGATTCAATCCAGGTCTCCCATGTAGGTGACAGGAAACCAGCTATTGCTGCCTGCCAGGGCCTACATGAGCAGGAATCTCATCAGGAGCCAGGACTGGGTGTCAAATCTAGGACTCCAACGTGGGACCTGAGTAGCCTAACTGGCTTCTGAACTGCTAGGTGTAGGCCTGCCCTGCAGATGTCCTTCTGATTCTCTGAAGCTGTGGATTTCTTCTTCATGGACTTGGCATCTGTGGTAGTATTTATTTTATTATTTTTAATATGTTTTAAAGAATTATTTATTTCTAAGTCAGAGTTACAGACAGAAAAGTCTTCCATCTACTGGTTCACTCCCCAAATGACCGCAAAGGCTGGAGCGAGGCCTGTCCAAAGGCAGGAGCCAGGAGCTTCTTCAGGGTCTTCCACAAGGGGGCATGGGTCCAAACACTTGGGCCATCCTCCATTCCTTTCTCAGGCCATAGCAGAGAGCAGCCGGGACTAGAACTGGTGCCCAAATGAGATGCTGGCACTACAGGTAGAGACTTAACCTACTATGCCACAACACTGGCCCCTTATTATTATTTCCTTAATTTTATTTCCATCTGTTTGAAGGGCAGAGCAACAGAGCACATGTGTGAGAGAGATTGATGTTCCACTGCTGCTTCACTTATGAAAGGACTGTAGCAACCTGGGCCAGGCCGGGCCAAAAGCCAGGAGCCCAGATCTCTATACAGGTCTCCCATATAGGTAGCAGGAGCCCAAGCACTTAAGCCATTAACTGCAACCTCCCAGGCACGTTAGTAGGGAGCTGGTCAGAAGCAGAGGTGGGACTTGATCCCAGTCACTCTGATTCAGGATATAGGCATCCCAAGTGGCAGATTAACCCACTCCATCATGACCCCTGCCCCTCAAAATGAAGTAACTGAGAATATGTATACATTGTAAAGTGATTAGCACAATCAAGGTAACTATCCATCACCTCACAGTCATCTTTTTTGTGTGTGATAAGAACATAAGATCTACTCTCTTCTAACTGTAGCCACCTTGCTGTTAGATCCCCAGGATTCATACATCCAGCTTAACTGAAATTTTGTAAACTTTGGCCAGCATTTCCTGATTCTGCCCTCCTCACCATCCCCTAGATCCAACAACCACCTTATTTATTTATTTACTTACTTACTTACTTACTTACTTACTTTCTTATTTGAAAGGCAGAGTTATAGAAACAGAGAGAAAAATCTCCCATTTGCTGGTTCACTCCTCAAATGGGCACAATGGCCAGAGCTGGGTCGATCTGGAGCCAGGATCCAGGAGCTTCTAATGGTCCTTCCACGTGGGTGCAGGGGCCCAGGGACTGGAGCCATCTTTCACTGCTCTCCCAGGCGCATTAGCAGGGAGCTGGATCAAAAGTGGAACAGCCGGGGCCGGCACCGCGGCTCACTAGGCTAATCCTCCGCCTAGCGGCGCCGGCGCACCGGGTTCTGGTCCCGGTCGGGGCGCCGGATTCTGTCCCGGTTGCCCCTCTTCCAGGCCAGCTCTCTGCTGTGGCCAGGGAGTGCAGTGGAGGATGGCCCAGGTGCTTGGGCCCTGCGCCCCATGGGAGACCAGGAAAAAGCACCTGGCTCCTGGCTCCTGCCATCGGATCAGCGCGGTGCGCCGGCCGCAGCGCGCCGGCTGCGGCGGCCATTGTGGGGTGGACCAGCGGCGGAAGGAGGACCTTTCTCTCTGTCTCTCTCTCTCACTGTCCACTCTGCCTGTCCAAAAAAAAAAAAAAAAAGTGGAACAGCCAGAACTTGAACCAGCGCCCATATGGGACTCTGGAGTTGCAGATGGTGGCTTTACCCACTGTACCACAGCACCAGCTAGTGGCAATCATCTTTTAGCTCTCTGCTTCTATGATTTGATTGTTTTGGATTCTACATATATGTGAGATCATGTGATACTCATCTTTTGGCACCTGGCTTATTAACTTAGCATGTCTGTTCTCCGTAATGACGTGAAGGTCATCCATGCTGTTGCAAATGACAGCATTTCCTTCTCTTGTTTTAAAGACTGGTATTTCTTTGTATATAAACTTATCCATTCATCTGTCAGCTAACACTTAGGTTGATTCTGGAACTTAGGTATTTTTTAAAGGTTTACTTATTTATTGAAAGAGTGACTGGAGGGGCCAGCGCCGTAGCTCACTTGGTTTATCTTCCGCCTGTGGCACTACCATCCCATATGGGCGCTGGGTTCTAGTCCTGGGTGCTCCTCTTCCAGTCCAGCTCTCTGCTGTGGCCCAGGAAGGCAGTGGAGGATGACCCAAGTGTTTGGGCCCTGCACCTGCATGGGAGACCAGGAAGAAGCACCTGTCTCCTGGCTTCGGATTGGCGCAGCACTGGCTGTAGTGGCCATTTGGGGTATGAACCAATGGAAGGAAGACCTTTCTCTCTGTGTCTCTCTCTCTGTCTATAACTCTACCTGTCAAATAAAAAAATAAATAAAGTAAAAAAAGAAAAGGCCAGCGCCGTGGCTCACTAGGCTAATCCTCCGCCTGCGGCGCCGGTACTCAGGGTTCTAGTCACGGTTGGGGCTCTGGATTCTGTCCCAGTTGCTCCTCTTCCCGTCCAGCTCTCTGCTGTGGTCCGGGAAGGC